ATATATATATATATATATATATATATATATATATATATATATATATATATATATATATATATATATATATATATATATATATATATATATATATATATATATATATATATATATATATATATATATATATATATATATATATATATATATATATATATTTCAACCTATACATAAAAAAAATATTGTTTAATTAATTAAATAATAAATTAACAAGGTCTATATATCGGCCATATGCATTCATTAATAATTGAATTTACAAAAATAATTTCTTTATACATATTGGTTTTAGTAATTCTATTTTAGTTAGAATTAGTTTTTACTGATATATAAATAACTGGTCATGCCTTGTAAATAAAGCTGTGTGAAATCAATGAAAGAATACATTTTTTACTTCCTATCTCTTTCTTATCAAGCACAAAATAGAAATTTCTTTTAGAACTTTCATCAAACAGCTAAACAGCTTGCTGCATTCTTCATCATTGTTCCATCAAATTTGTATAGTAGAGCCCGATTGGATCATTGGTGTTAGAGAATTCGTAAAGAATGGGAACTCACAATAACAACATATCTATGCATCTGCCAGTGTTCGAAGGCAAAAACTTTGATCAATGGGTCGTAAAGATGAAGGTGATCTTTAGGTTCCAGGATGTTCTTGAAGTTGTAAATGAAAGAGTGCCAGCATTAGCAGCGAGTGCAATTGAGGTACAACAAACAACACATAAAGAATTGAAGAAGAAAGATGGGAAAGCCATGTTCTTAATTCATCAGAGTGTAAGTAATGAGATCTTTGAGAGATGATCATTCATTATGAAAGTGCAAAGGAGACATGAGATGCAATGGAGAAACTGTATTCTGGCGATGGGAAATTGAAGAAGGTGGGGCTTCAAGCATTAAGAAAACAGTATGAAGTGTTGACAATGGAAGAAAAAGAGACCACCAGCCAATACCTTGATAAAATGATCAAGCTCACGAATCAGATGACAAGGAATGGTGAAATTTTCACTGATGTGATGAAGGTTGAGAAAGTTCTCAGAACCTTAACACCAAGATTTGATTACATTGTGGTTGCGTTGAAGGAATCCAAGGACCTAGATTCTATGAAGATAGAAGAACTGCAAGCAAGTCTTGAGGCACATGAGCTGAGGTTGACTGATAGGATCAAAGAAAGAGGTAAAGGTGCATCTTCGGATCAAGCATTGCAGACCCATTATGTGAAGAAAGGAAAACCCAAGAAAGATAAGAAAGAAATTTAGTGCTATAATTGTCAAAAGTGGGGACATTATGCATCTGAATGCAGATCAAAGAGGGTCCCAAGGAGCAAAGATGAAAGTAGTGTTGATGGTAACAATTAAGGAGGAAGAAGAAAGAAGTGATGAATGGTACTTAGATACTGAGTGTTCAAATCATATGACAGGCAAGAAATCTTGGTTCTCTGAACTAGATGACTCAGTAAACAGAAAGATAATATTTGCAGACAATATCATAGTGTGTGCAGCTGGCATTGGGAAAATATTGATTAATAGGAAGGATGGTAAGAAAGCATGCATTACTGATGTGTTGTATGTACAAAATATGAAGAGCAACCTCATAAGTATTGGTCAATTATTACAAAAGGGGTACACTATGAAGATGGAAGCACAAGTTATGAAGGTTTTTGATAGCAAGAATAGGTTGATTCTTAAAGCTCCATTGTCAAAGCAAATAACTTTCAGAATCAACATTAGTGTGATTGAAGATCAGTGCTTGCTATCAGAAACTAAGAATGAAGACTGGCTATGGCATCAAAGGTATGGGCATATCAATTTTAGGAATTTGAATATGCTTCATGAGAAGAAAATGGTGCAAGGCTTACCAAAAATAAAGTTTCCTGAAGAAGTGTGTGATATGTGTTGCATTGGAAAGCAAACCAGAAATTCATACAATGCAGAGGTATCATTCAATGCAACCAGAAAACTTGAGGTAATTCACTATGATGTATGTGGACCATTTGAAGTAAAGTCAGTAGGAGGAAATAGCTAATTTGTAACATTCATAGATGAATTCACTATGAAATTATGGATTTACTTGTTAGCTAAGAAAAGTGAAGTGCTTGGTATGTTTAAGAAGTTTAGACTGCTAGTTCAAAATGAAAGTGGTGAAGTAATTAGCAGATTGAGAACTGATGGAGGTGGTGAGTGTACTTCCACTGAGTTTAATGATTTTTGCTCATCAAATGGCATAAGTCATGAAGTCACTGCACCATACACACCTCAACACAGTGGGATCTCAGAGAGGAAGAACAAAACCTTGGTAAATATGATAAGAAGCATGCCGAAGCAAAAGCAGATGCCTCATTACTTGTGGGGTGAAGCAACTGCTACTGCAACATATCTCAAAAATAGAAGTCCCAAAAAGAAGATGCAAGACAAGACACCAGAAGAAGCATGGTGTGGAGTTAAACCAAGTGTTCAACATTTGAAGATCTTTGGCTCATTGTGTTTCAGTCATGTACCTGATCAACTAAGGAGAAAATTGGATGATAAATCTCAAGTAATGATTATGGTTGGTTATCACTCAACTGATGCCTACAAACTATATGATCCAAGTAATAAGAAAATAATGTTCAATAAAGATGTAAAGTTTGATGAATCAAAAGGCTGGAACCGGAAAGATAAGGCATCAAATAAGTTTGACAACCACTTCTATCTATCTGACTCAGAGACAGAAGAAGTTGAGACTGAGGAACAAGAAGAAATTGTTGAAAATACAAATGAAGGAGGTGCAGAAGTGACCAATAGGCCAACAAAGAATACTCAGCCACCAACCAGGTTGAGAGATTATGAGAGGTTCCCTAATCAAGCAGTTACAGATGAAGGTGACATAGTGCAACTAGCAATGCTTGCTGAAACTGAACCAAAGTCTTTTGAGGAAGCTCTTAAACAAAAACACTGGAAGAAGGCAATGATTGAAGAACTAGACTCTATAGAGAAGAATGAAACATGGATATTAGTTCAACTACCTGCTGGTAAGAAGTGTATTGATGTTAAGTGAGTATTCAAAACAAAACTGAAGCCAGATGGTCAGGTGGCAAAGTATAAGGCTAGACTAGTTGCAAGAGGCTTCCTACAGAAGTATGGACAAGATTACTATGAAGTCTATGCTCCAGTAGCAAGGATGGAAACAATCAGATTGAAGGGTACAAAAAATGCTCTCACTTTGCTTGGTTGGATGAGAAGATGGATCCTAGGGCAAAACAAATAATTTCTTCACTGATAAAGAACTTGAATGAGGAGAAGAAGATGGTTAACACCTATAAAGCCAAGGAGGATGAATTGAAGTTGAAGGTGAAGATCCTAAAGAAACAGTTGAAGATTACCTGAATTTTTAAATTTGTAGTGTTCATGTCATTTGTTGTAACAACAATGACGAAATAGGTTATAGTTGCTTAGGTTTGTATGTTGGTTGATTGTGTAATGGTTGATGTATTGGTTATCTTGGATTCGTGTGATGATGTTATGGTGTATTGAATATGATACAATTATTTGATATTATGAATATGATACAATTAATATTATTATGACAACTTTATCACAAATGTGAGTTGTGTTTTCTGCTGTGATATGGTGAAAAATAATACATGTTAAAAAATGGGATTAATTATAAAAGCAGGATAATATTTGTTAATTCTGCGGACAATTTAACAACGGTTATATATCATAACCGTTATAATATCTCGCGCGCTGAGCAGAAAAAATATTTTTATCACAACAGTCTTTTGGAAAACCCATTATGATAGGACGCGCGCTTTCCAGTTTATTACAATAGTTACTAGGTCATAATTGTAAGTATTATATATTCAACGACACTCTACATAACAACGCCTGAGCCCGCGTGGTTATATATCTTTCTCAAACATTGTTAAATGGATTTTCCGTAGAAGTGTCTTGAAATTTGTTTCGTTACCTCATTGGCAAGTTGGAAATTTGCAACATATACCCCCAACTTGAGGGTGAGTCTTATGAACCATTGGTTAAGTTAGTTAGAAGTAGGTGAGTTATACTTCAAGTTAAGTGTTAAGTTGCTAGTTGATGTTGTTGTAATTACTTAACTAGAAGTTGTTAAATCTTGTAATATATATATATATATATATATATGGATGTCTTCCAATGAATAGATTGTATCAAATTATATTTTCACTATAAACTCTCTCTACAACAATAAAATCCGATAGCCTATTTTGCGCCATGACCACAAAAGCAGCATTCAAGAAGACAAAGATCAACCACACAATCAAGAAGCAGTCCAAGCCCAAACAAACACCCTAAAGTGAGACTATATGAAATGCATGAAACTATATTATGCAATGCAAGAAATGGAACAAGATGCGGATGGAAATCAGATTGAGACACCAACCATGATTTCCAATGAGAGAGAAATGCATGAAAAAACTAGATACAAAATTTGATTAAAACTTTATGAACTAATAAAAGTTAAACTTGGAACCGTCCTCATCAATGGTCCAAATGGTGGAAAGTGAAATGATGATATTATAGCACTCATTATCATATTTATTATAGTTGCGGGTTATATTTAATAAACCTTTAAAATTAAAGATTTTTGGCTAGAAACATTTCATCAATATAAGAAAAGGATGATGCAAGACCTAACACTTAAAAAATAATTTAACAAAAGAGTAATACTAATTTGTTGCGACATAAGTTAAGAGATAAATATAAGAAATAATTTTTAAAAATTATACATTATATAATAAATTTAATACAACCTTATAATTAATGATTTTATTGTTTTTTTTCATCCATATTTTCTATTTGTAGGTTTTTTAACATGTGCCCCAATGGCACAAATTGACATTACCCTTAACAAAGATAAAAGTTGAAAGCTAAGAAAAATAATCACAAACAAATTAAAATAAAAAAAAAACTTAAATAAACACACGTGTTTGGATGTAATTCAAACCCACAAAACTCCATTTATTTATATATGATGGAATTTTTGTTTACTCAAACAATTTTCAACTCAAGGTTTGTGCATCCAGCTTTAGCCTTATGTTTTTCAAAAAGATTCTGAAGAGCTTCAACAAACTCACTATGTATTTTGGCAACCTAAAAGCATAAACAAAAAAAATATAAACTAATAATATGCTATAGTATTGATTATGAATGTATGAAAACTATGAGAAAGGAAGATTAATGTATAAATGCATACCTCTTCTGTTGTTGGGTTTGGATTCTTGTTAACATGAATAGGTCTACCCACCACGACATACAATGGATTCTTTAATGGTATAGGAGATCTATAAGAGGAGAATGTATATCATCAAAATATAGAATGAAAATGAAGCAATTTAACTTAGAAAAGAAAAAGACTTACCCGAGTATTCCCCAAAATATTATTGGATTAATCTTGATAAATCTTGTAAGATTCTGAACTAACCTACCAGGAACTTTCCACCACTTATAAGCATTTGTCTGTCAGCAAAAAGAAAATAAATGCAAATCAACAACATCTAGTTTATCTAATTGTAGAGGAAATTTTTCTAATAATAAGCTATGTTTATGTCATTACTCTAAAAATAAAGAACTTAGGATGAGAATATAAATATATACCTGACCATAGCAGAAAACTGGAACAAGTGGGTGACCCAACTCCATTGCTATTCGAACAAACCCTCTTCTTTCTTTAAGATATACATTCTATATACGATGTATATACTTGTTATTACGACAAATTTACCAATTATTATTACTATTGTACAAGATGTAAGAATTGAAGTAATGTACCTCAGAACCATGCTTCATAAAAAGAGTTTCTCGATTTCCACCAGGTACTATAATGCAACTATGCCCAGAAGCCAACAAGGAGATTAAGTTCTTCTTCGCCACTGATGTAAAACCCAACCATCTCCATACTTGCCCCAAAAATGGTATATAGAAAGACTACTCATTCATAAAATGAGATGACAACAATTATTTTATCATGTAATTAATAACTTTCATTAACTAAAGAAAATAGTCACAAGTGAATAAAATTCTTACTGCGCTGCTAACAAGAAATCTTATTTTTGAAATAGACATGGAGTCTATGTTGTCAAGAAGTGCGAAGATGCCGAATGGTAAAACTGAATGCGGCTCATAGCCAAAAACTGCATAAAGCACCTAATGTTATGTTTATCAAAGTTTTATTGAAATTCAAAAAAATTATATCAATCTTTAAATTTAAAAGTTTTATTAATTATTATTATCAAACTAGTATATCATCCCAAACGCATGCATAGTTTTAAAGGGGCAAATTATTAAGGAAAAAAAAACTATTTAAACCAGAAATAATTTAAATGAAAAAAATAAATATGGATAAAAACATGACTGGGCTCGCAACACTTTTTCCATGTTTTGTTGGTAGTGATTTTTTTGTTGGTAGCCCCACTTTTTCCAGGATAATTCCTTATATGCTTCCGATCTGACCCCGAAGTTATTTTAGTAAATTTATAAATTTAATTATTAATGAATGTATATGGTCGAATATATAGACTATGTTAATTTGCTAAATTATTTTTTTGTTTATAAGTTGAAAAGAAATTTCACTGAATAGTCAGAAGTAGTCAGAAGTCAGAAATTTATTATTAGTTAATGTAGTCTATATATTTTTTTAATCTTTAAAAAAATACTTGAAAACATGTTTGACAGAACAGTCACTGAAATATTTTTTTATTTTGTTATAAAAATGACAACAACAAAATTTCTTTTACCTGCATCTCATTTTGAGATAGTTATCTCAAATGAAAAACTATCCTAATCATATAATTTTTTTAATCATTATTAGTCTATTAGTTTATATATTTTTTTAATCATTAGAAAAATAAAACATATTTGACAGAACAGTCAGAAATCTATTATCAATTAATATATTTGAGAAGAGGTTTTGTTTTTGCCAGTACTTTGTATCTTTGTTATTCTTTCAAATATTTAGATATGAAAATTATTAATTTGTTATTTTTTTATTTTGTTATAAAAGTGACAAAAAAATTTCTTTTACTTACATCTCTTAAATAGTTATCTCAAATAAAAAACTATCCTATTCTTATAATATATATATATCACTATAAGAAAACATTGAATAAGCTAGGGGCATGGGTTAGGGAAAAAATTCCTCACTAAAATAAAATTATTTGTTTGGAGTTAAACTCATCGCAAACTGCAAAATAGGGGAGAAAAAAAAATATAAATATTTAGCTAGGGGATACTCCTCGCAATGAAGGAGGAAAAATTTTTGAATTTTGAAATTCACTTTTACTAGGGTTCAGCGCAATTTTTGATGGAAAAGCTGATCAATTTGCAAGGGGTATCCCCTCACCACGTTACGTTCACATTTTGCAAGGGGCAGCTCCTCACCAAATGTCCTACTTTAGTCAAATTCCACTGAAAAAACATTTATTCCTCTGCATTACTCTGCAAAACGGTCTGCCACATGCAAAAGGTGGCTAGGGGATGCCCCTCGCAAATTACATGCTAATACCCTGCGTAGAGTGGCCCCTCGCAAATGCTGCCATGTCATGTGACCGTTGAGCATTGCGTGGAGTGTATATATATATATATATATATATATATATATATATATATATATATATATATATATATATATATATATATATATATATATATATATATATATATATATATATATATATATATATATATATATATATATATATATATATATATATATGGCCCCTCGCAAATGCTGCCATGTCATGTGACCGTTGAGCATTGCGTGGAATGTATATATATATATATATATATATATATATATATATATATATATATATATATATATATATATATATATATATATATATATATATATATATATATATATATATATATATATATATATATATATATATATATATATATATATATATATATATATATATATATATATATATATATATATATATATATATATATATATATATAAACTATTAATTATTAATAAATCTATATTGTCTAATTAGTTTGTTATTAATTAAATGATATTTTTATTTATAAGCTGAAAAGAAATTTGACCAACAGTTGAAAATATTCCGAAGTCAAAAGCCTATTATTAATTAATGTATATGGGAACTCGTGTGGTGGAGTATGGCTTGTAGCAGGGTTATGACAGTGGTTGATACTTTTTGTATATGGGTTAGGATAGCCTTTGTATCTATAAAAAAAAAAAAAAAAAGTGTTATTTTTACACATTTTTCTATATATTATGTATGCTATACCATATATAACAACAAATTATCAAGATGAACAAATTATTAAAAAATAAAATTAGTATGTATTATATATAAAATTACGGTGTAGGTGTTATAAAATAGTGTCAAAATATCTTTTTTCATAAAAAAATTGCTTATAAAAAAATAAGAGAAAAGATATGTTTACACTATGTTTAACATATAGACCGTATTAATATACACAACATATACTAATTTTAGTTTTTTAATTAATTTATCTAACTTTGATTTCCGTGCCACAACGCTTTGCTTTATTATTACTTACGGTGTTAATACTGTGTATGAAAAAAACAGTGTGAGAATAGCACAGCTCAAAAAATAATTAATGTAGTTGAAAAGAGGTTTCACTCTCATTTATATGTCAGTGTTTTTGCCTAGATTAATACCTATAACACATAGGAGTATGTTGTATCTTTGTTATTCTCTCCTATATTTAGAGATGAAAATTAATATTTTAATTTGTTATTTTTTTATTTTGTTATAATATTGATAAAAAATAAAATCTTTTACTTACGTCTCTTTCTTAAATAGTTCTCAAATAAAAAACTATCCTAATCATAGAATTTTTTTTCATATATATATATATAAACTATGCTCTAAGTTTCACAATTAAACCTATCAATTTAATCGAACAACTATACAAGTATTAAATATATATTATTTTCAGTTAGGGTTTTTTAACTAATTTTTCTTTTCTTTTTCAATAACTTGTATTTCTATACCTTTATTTTGGGCTTATACCCTATATATTCCATATTCAAAAGGATCTTGAAAAACTAATTGATTTTCAAAATAATACATTTTAAAAAAAAATGTTGGGGGTATAGATTCCACGTCACAACATAAATAACTAAAATAAAAAAAATTAAAATGTTAGGCTTACACGTGAGAAAATTTTGAATTTTAAAATTTATAATGTGGCGTTTAATTATCCAACCTACTCGGATCACTACCCTTATCAATCGATCAAATAAAATATAAATTATCATAAATTATAAGTAAGTATGAAACTAAATAGTGTGTAATCATCATATTGAAAATGCAATTATTTATTCAATTTTAACCATTAATTGTTTTATTAATTATTATTGCCAAACTAGTATATCATCCCAAACGCATGCATTGTTTTAAAAGGGGCAAATAATTAAGGAAGAACGAGAATCAATTTAAATGCCGGTACACAATTTAAATGAGAAACAATTTAAGTAGAGGAAAAGAATTTAAATGAAAAACAATATGGATAAAAAACATAATTAAAAATTCTACTTATTTATTGTTTTGTCGATTAATACAAACTGGTTACTGATGGAAAGCTTCAGCACAAGGGTGATAGGAAATAGGAAAATAACTGCAAACACGTTTACATATGAATCTAAAATATAGAGAAAGAAAAATAGTAAGCTTGTGCATTTTCTTTATACTATTTCAAACAAAAAAAGGAAATAATTAAGGTAAGAAAAATAAAGACAAAAAATTGAAATGAATTCTTCCAACACAAACCTAATGCTACAACAGATTTGAAACAGTTGCATGACTTGCCTCGCATCACTTTTTCCACGTTCTGTTCACAGGTTTTGGTTTATGAAACAGTGACTTAGTCGGTAGCACATTATCATGATACTTCCTTATATATTTCTGATATGACCATCGATATTAAAATATTTTTTTTGTTAGATTAAATTTAAAATGAGTATTTCTCTGTTTTGTAAATTTTATTATGAACTAGCGTTCAGACAGTGATCAGTGCATTTTAATGTACCTTCCTCTATGTTTAGACTTAGGCATTTCTACCATTTAGTTTATTTAATTTCCTATTTTATAATGGTTTTACAATTTATTTTATTTTAAGCTTTATTTAATTTTCGTTTGTTATTTTTCAGCATTAATAGCTTTTAGTGAAAAATTCATAACTGGAGCTACAGGAATTGGATTGAGGCATTCTACCAGTCGTTGGAAAGCTAAGAAAGAGATCTATAACTTTCATGTTGCACAAAGGAGCTGATTCGGATTTCTTGAGTCTCGAATAATTCGTTGAAGTTTCTGACTTGTGACAATGTAGTTTTCCTTGCGGGCCTAGTTTAGGTTTCTGGCCCAGTTATTTTCTATTTAAAGTTGTTGTTGTGATGCAAAACAGGGACCGAGTTTATTTTTCCGAATTTTTTCCTTTGTTTTATAGTTTTCATGGAGAACTAATACCTCCGGGCAAATCCTGCTGTGTACGGTTTCAACACTTTGAGGTTATTATTATATCAATTTACTCTGATTCCTTTCAATCCTTTTCTATGAAGTCATCTGCTTAATTTGATTACAATTGTTTGCTTAATTCAATTGTTGTTCATAGGATAGAATTGATTAAATTCGATTGTATGCATGTTCCTAAATTTAATTGCGTGTTATCGTTTGCTTAATTCGTTAATTCGTCATATTCTTAACCGTTTGCTTAATTCGGTAAACAGGAACATAATTCATTTGATGTTGATAAGCGCTTGTCTGATTAATATCATAATCGAATAGGATTGGTACCGCTTAGGGATTGATATTATAATAACCGATGATAAGTCGGAACCCGAATCAGTAGGATTAGCACTACTAGAAAAAAGACTTTTGGAAAAATATTTTTACATCGGGTATTCACTTGAAGCGATGTAAAAGACGGAAATATAAACACGGTGGCAATTTCGTAAATAAAAAAAAAATTTATGAGATCTTTTACATCGGTTCATTTAGTTAACTGATGTAAAAACTTGAAAAAAATTAGTATAAGGGTTTTTAAATCGGTTATAACATAAACCGATT